ATATTCTTTTTTATCCCTCCTACTAAGTGTCACTCAGCCTGACTTTAGGGAAAAAGAAGATTAGGAAGTTGTTCCACAATACCTGCAAGCGTGAAGTAGTTTTCTTGCCCAGATACTTCTAACTCTGGTTTCCATAATCTTGCAAGAATTAAAGTAGAGCCACTCTGGGGAGAATAATGTAGGTTTTAGACATCAGTCTGGCACATCAGTAAAGAAATGCATCTGTGCCAAATTATGTGAAAAGACCAAAATCTGAGAAGGGCCACTGGTATTATTTGAAATGACAGTACCAGCCAGATGTCTCACAGATTGATTGGCTAGCTGCACTCAGTGACATTTCATTAACCCATCTTGATTTTGCATCTTCAGTGCTAAAGTGAATCTCTCAGCGTCGTGAGGCAAATCCCCATAGCATGAATACAGTGGCATTGTCTACTCTGAAACTGGCCATCATGTTCTTCTTTCAGATGGTCTTCTGAACCCTGCTTTCTCTTTCCTTCTCATTTGCTACTCCATATAACTGGGGCTGCCAGTACCTTTGACACATCTCGAAATCAATGCTCACCTCAGATGGGTAGTATGGCTTGGTAGTACATTCTGTACTAAGGCTGTACCTGACACCTTTAGGTAGAAAAAGGAAATCCTGAGACAGGTCAGTCCAAGGTACTGAGACACAGGATGTGACTCACCCTAGAAAATTTATTCCATTGCAGACGTTTTGCTGAAGGCATCACACTTGAGTAAATCGAGTGCACCTCCCCTTTGCATCAATCTTCCCTTCATCCCCTGGTTAGTTTTATTTTATACAGATGAGCAGAAATGGGAGGAAAGAATATTTAACAGGAGTCCTCTGGCTAACCATAAAATGATTTGGGTGGCATCGAATGAGAGCCCATTTCCACAGCAACAGCAATGAGCTGTGCCCCTGTCACATGGAAAAGAGAAAGGGGGAGTTCCTCAACACATTGCAGCACTCTTTTCTCTAATAAGAATGTCTTTGCTTTGAGTGAAGGTGACATGCTTGGATTATGCCTCTAGCATGGAGTTTCCTGAATCAGTATCTGTATATAAAAAGTCTGAACAAGACTTTTATTAGTGGGTTTTTTAACTCAAGCTGGAAGAAAATAGTTACCAATCTGTGCTTATTTGTGTTTGGAAAAAAATTGATAAATCTTACCAACAAATCTGACATTTCTAGCTTAGAAATTTGTTAAGGTTACATTATGAAAGCTTAAAGAGAGGTATTTAATAAAGCTAGTGGATAGCTTTTAAAGTAAAGATAAAATGAATTGTGTGAAGAATCACATTTCTAACAAGGCAC